GATAACAAAAATGATTTCTGGCGATTAGTCGATAGTAACGAAATACATCCAATAGGCCACTGTGAGAAATCTGGCGGGATGCTTCAGCCGCCACTAGGCTTCCGGATGAATGCTTCTAGTTGGCCAATGTTCCTCCTAAAAACTTTAAATGGTGCCGAAATGGCACCGGCTAAAGTATTCAAACGTGAACCAAAGACGCCACGCTCTAATTTGTTTGAGGTCGGACACAAATTAGAAGCAATCGATAAAAAAAATCCACAGCTTATATGCACTGCAACCGTTGGCGCAGTTAATGAGGATCAGATACATATTACGTTTGATGGTTGGCGCGGTGCTTTTGATTACTGGTGTCGTTATGATTCTCGAGATATTTTCCCTGCAGGATGGTGTTTTAAAAGTGGACATCCATTGCAACCACCAAGACAAAAATGTACACATAAATAAATAATTATATTTATAATTTGTAAAGTAACTGCATAACTATACAAATTCATTAATGCATATATCTCTTAATCTCTTATCTTGTTTATAGTATTTAAATATTTTTAATTCACATTTTTAACATATTTAATTTTAATTTTTATAGCAGGTTCAAACAAGGGATTTAGAGGGTCTAAAGCCAACAGTAATGTTTTTCTTGTAATGGCGGTTGGTTCTGGAAATAATAATAATAGAGAGTCTGCAGTTGCATTAGTAACACCTGCAGGCTCCAATGCATTACAGCCAGCTACGGAACCTGACACTAGCACAATCAATACCAAACCGCTTGAAAATGGTAAGTAAATTGTAATTCTATATCAGGGATACTTTGCTATGAAAAATCAAGCCTTATTTCTGTGCCATTTGGGCGAATAGATAGTTTTGGAAACTATAAATTTCAGCATTCCTGCTCAATCGATACTGTCAACTTGATTCAGGGCCCTTATTTTAGAAGAATATCATAAACTAAGTAAATGCTATAATATATATGTAACGTATAGCATATGTAACGCATATATATAACTATAATATTTCTTTAGATTTTCGTATGCGATACTTATGTCGATGGCAATAATACTTGTTTTCCTACTGAATTGCTAGCTGGATTAGAATCTTGCCACTGTATTGGCTGGCACTGACAGCACCGCAGCCAATACGGTGGCAAGATTCTAATCCAGCTAGCAATCAGCAGGAAAATAAGCATGTGCCATTGGCTTTATTTTTAGGAATCCAGTTTTTATTTTAGCTGATCCCAGATCGGAAGTATCAGAACGTAGTTAAAATCAAACGTAATCATGATTTTTAGTAACACTTTTTAGGCTTTTACATTATTCACATTATCTTAAAAGATACTAGAAGGTTTGCGGATTATCATCGTGTTTCTATCCATGTGATTTCTGATGATTGCACAAATAAAGTGATGATTCTTTGATTGTTACAAATAATAACACTCAAATAAAACGCTTAGTCCTATACATTCGTGAATCTGTTGTTCGCTGTTCACAGATACATACATCAAAATAAATAAATACATAAATCAGAATAAAGGAGGATGTAGAATTATAGTATCATATGCAGGTTTAATTATAATTGTAGATGTATGTATCTGTGGACAACAAATGACACACACGCGCGAACACATTTGCGAATATATAGCGAATTAACAGCATTTTATTTGAGCGTTATTATTTGTAAGAATTAAAAAATCATCACTTCATTTGCGCAATCATCGGAAATCATGTTTGATACTTATCATGTTCTGATACTTAATCTGATATTTATCTGATACAGTATCAAGCGAGCAAGATGAATTTTTTTTTTCGCCCGGATGGCGCAGAAGGGCGATATTTATCTATACCCGATTCTACAATCAATTCAGGTGATGTGCTATATTTTCTACAAAAAACGATAAAGTTCACGCAAAAAATTTTTAATGATTTAATTGTATATTGCAGTTACGCTTTATGTCAACCATAAATGTCACTGTGGGCCATATTTTGATATTCGAAAAGTGAAAGTCCTGCCAGCGCAATTTGGTCCTGGTCCTATGACAAATATTGCAAGAGACATCTTTCAAGCATTTTTAATGGCAGCCTTGAATCCCAAGCAAATGTTGGGTTTACTGAGAAATGGTGATGGCGAAACTGTAACTTTGAGTATGGGAACCTTGAAAAAACCTGCAGCTGTTAAATTATCTCATTTTTTGGAAGAAGAAGACTTCTATGCATACATTAGACAGCAACTTGAGGACCTTCGTACATGTGAATACATGTTAACTAAGAGAAAAGAATCTTGTACCAAGTGTCTCACATCTTTGCTACAACAACCACAATCCACTAATGATGAAGAAGCAAATGATTCTATAGGAGAAAAACGAAGGTGGTCATCGGAAAATCAACAAAACTTAACGCCAACTCAGCAACAGCATGTTCAGCAAACTCCTGTACAGAGTATAAATCATTCTACAGAATCATCTCCTACATCTGCGAAGCAACCTCGCAAATCTATTCCCGGTATTTCATATTTTTTATAAAGCTTTATTATAACGTAGTCCAACAAGAAAATCTGCGGCAAGCAGGGCCAATATTTCTTAATAAACTCAAAGTTGTTGAATCTAAATTCGCCAACGAAAGATGCTTATCACGTCAGCTTTTTGAGATAAATACAGCGTTTTTTTACCATATTTATCACTTTTTTTTGTGACCAAACAAAATTTTATTTTTCAATTTCATTAACAGTTATTCCATTAATCTTCATCTTTAAAAGGAATTTGCATTTTTTATTGTGTAATTTTTTTTATTGAGTTGTGAACGTTTGCTGAAATGTAAAATAGCGGATTGGATCCAAATTAACGAATTGGAATCGGAAAGTGGAGAGATAGATTTGTATCAAAATAATATCTGTATTTTTATCAATTTTTTAGTCCATTAAGTCTATCATTTCAAATTTCGTAATTTTGAATTCATAAGCAACGATCGCCATTTTACACTTCAGAAAATGTTCATAACTCGAAAAAAAATATACATTAAACAATGGAAATTCTTTTTAAAGATGAAGATTAGCTTTTTAGAGGGGCGTTAATGAAATTGAAAAACAAAAATTTTGTTTGGCTACAATAAAATAGTAAATATGGCAAAAAAACATTATTTATATTATTTAATTTCTTAATCTCAAAAACATAATGTGATGGGCATCTTTTGCTAGCTGGATTCAGCGATCTTGAATTTATTAAAAAATACTGGTCCTACTCGCCGCAGAAAAAAAAGATCAAATTTTATTTTAGTAGCAGTTTAATTAACCTGCGAATTAAATAAGGATATTTATAATTATTTAAGAACATACAGTGATAGATATAGTGATAGATGATAGATAGTTATTACTTTATTGTTTAAGCTAATATGCTATCTTGGAAGCTTGAATATGAAATTAACTAGCATTTTTATGAAGACATATTTAAGATTAAGAAATATATTTACGTACAGAATTGGAAGCAGCGACGTCTACTACTCAATCGAATGAAGCCTCTGGAAGTCGCACTCTTCCCATTGAACCAGGAGAATGGACTATTGAAGATGTAATACATTTTATTGCCATTACAGACCCAATATTAGGACAACATGCAGATTTATTCAAGAAGCATGTGAGTTAAATATAAACAGGCTTCAACATTTTATTTTATCATAAAATTATAACAATAATAACGATAATTTTTAGGAAATTGATGGCAAGGCCCTACTTCTTCTCAATAGTGATATGATGATGAAGTACATGGGACTAAAACTTGGGCCAGCACTTAAGATTTGTAATTTGGTAAACCGTATTAAAGGTAGAAGACATACACATATGTGATTTTCTCACATATAAATACTGTATGATCTGATCTGAAATACATGCGTTTTATGCATTTCAATCTATGAATTAAATTCGTTGTTAATAAGAAGAATTTATGTGTTTTTTATTATTTTTTAAATTATATTCTAATATTAATTTTTAAATTTAGATTAGGAAACAAAAATTGAAAATTAAATTTGAAAATTTTTAATTTGTCAGACTATTATTTTATTTCAGAAAAGTATAAATTTGTATTAATTAGTTGTAACACAAGTATTTTTTAAATAAATTTACCATTGCCCAATAAGTATTAGATTAGCATAATGGGATTCCATGTATTAGATAAGCAGTGATAAACATAAAATCTAATATAATTTTTACATATTCTTATATGTGTATACGTACATCTCGCGCGCGCGCGCACGCGCACACACACACACACACACACACACACACAACATGCATGCATTCACACACTCATAAAAGATAATGACGTTTCATATACCTACTTGTAAATATAGCGTGTTTTCAGCAACGAAATACATACACTGTATAATACAGTAATAGCGTCCGACTTGTAAAATGTTGCTTTTCTATTTCAGAGTGAAATCATATACCTATGTCCGAATATAATCTTGAAATCTTTTATCAAAGTATTACTCCTAGAAAAATAAATGATAATGTAAATGGTAATGTAAAAAATTTGGTGTTCGTAAAGTGATATAAAACGAGGACACATTTTATGTATGATTGCATCGGTTATGTTATAGCTGAAAAACATGGAATCGTACACTGTGTTACACAGGGTTGCCTGTATACGTTGCTGGAAAACATCTATTGTCGTATCGTATGTTATGTTGCAGTGCTATGAAATACATATATTGTAAACGAGATATTTGTCTTGTAATATTTTTATAAGTAATGTTCATGATTGATCACATTAAAACTTTTTTAATACTTTATTTTGGTTTATATACATGACATTACTGCTATATTCAGTTTGAGCATTTCTACATACATCCCGATTGACTTAATATTTCAACAGTTTTTTAAATTAAAAAAATTAATGTTTTCTCCTAAAATGTAAGATCATAAATTTTCATTATACTGTAGATGAATTTAAACACATTAAACATTTAAACACATATACCTTCTAATATATAAAAAATTAATACAATGTGTGTTGGTTGCTTTTTTCCATTGTGTGATAATTTTTTTTTTATTATATAAGATAAACTACAAATATTTCGGAACATTTTAAAAGTTACATTATAAAATTAGTTAACTATGTATGACTTATCATTGCATTACTACTGTGATATTCTCCATAACTTGTACAGCAATCTCTCATGTTTCGCAATAGAATCTGCAAATAAATTACAGTTTATACACAATACATGAAAATTACTTTCTTTATTTATAATTCCATAAATTAATTTTCGTTTTGATTTTTATCATAAAATTCAAAAAGTATCATATCTCTTATTTGTATGAAATTATTCTTGTGAATATAAAGATTAAATGTATGTTATAATTATTTATACATTGTCTCAAAAATTTTTAAGCTTTTTTTTTATTGTAGAATGACTGTTAAAATACAGAATTATTTTCTAGAAAATTTACTTTCTATAAAGTTGTATTTCTTTCTCTACGTTATTTATTTATTATAACATAAAAAATGGGAGTATGTTGAGAAAAATAATATAATAAAAAATGAATATAATCTCAAAAGATATTCTAATGCTTGATCAGCCAACCACCGTATTCACTTAATGTAATTTTACTGTGATTTTTTTTCTTCTGAAATTGAAAATAAAGTTGAAAGGACATTAAAGTTCTCCGATTAATCGTCGCAGCCATAGTAGAATCATGTTTTCACTTTACTTTTTACGATTATTTCTTGATTCATGAGAGATAAAAAATAGTTTCTGTCTATTTTTATAAGTTTAAATGCGATTATTTTATTTTTTTAAATTTTCTATTCATAGCTCTTCCATCTCTTTACTTACAAATGGCATACAAGAAATTATAATAAAGTATGTATTTCTCAAATTATGAAATATATATTTACAATAACTAAATAAT